TTGTTTTAACATTTAATTAGATCACCACAGACAGAGATGGAGGTATCTATCTTCATCAATGGAAGAATTGTATTTTCAAGATATGAATGTTTATATCTAATTTTGTATTGTTTATTATAATAGGGAGGAATGATAATAAAAGTTTGATGCATTACAAAAAAAGGAGTCAATTCGAAAAGGAGGGAATACTTCCTCCATAAGTTGACAAATTTTCTAGTGAATGAAAAAAAATGCTTCAAAATTCAATGATGTTTAATTATGTTTACACTGACATGTATGGAATAGTTCGTCAAGATCGATTTAAGCATCTTTTCAAATCTACCCACTATTATTCTCGACTATTTTAATTATAGGAATCGATTTTTTTTCCATTTTTTAGATCACTGTGAACGAAAAAAAAATACTAAACAGGGAATTTTATCCCTTACAATGGCCTCTGAATTTTTTGAACACATTATTACCTTCATCCGAAAGTTTCTTTCCTTAATCATTGGCCTAGTCTTGACTTTTGGCGTAGCAATATACGTGGTCGGTTCAAGTTTCGTTATTTTCAAGGATGATAACCTCGGTAATGTTGGATTTACTCATCTAATTGCTATTTTACTTTCTACAGGGACGACCTTCATCTACCTAACGCTCCATTTTATTCCGCGCAAGGCGTATCGGCTGCTTTACACCATCACCGGTTTATTGCTCTTAAGCATCTTTTTCTGCGCACACTCGCTCGGGCTCACTGTGCCGACCGTTTCGGACTGCAGCAATGGCAATTTTCAACAGATGAGCGTGAAATCCAAAGGAGGGTCAAAGGACATGAATGTGGTGTTTGGATCCATTGGGCAGGAAATTAGAACTTGCTCTGGCAATAAAATGCTCTTAGTAGGGGCGCTTATTACTATCCTCATGATGATTGCCGCTATTTTTCAAGTGCAAATGATCTTGTTGAATCGTGTGAGGTCAAAAACCTATGGAGAGCGTTTTGTGGAAATGGGTATTAGCAATTAAAATTGATTGTGTAATATAGCTAAAAACTAATATTTAGATACCCTTACTTAGTTTTACATAGTCTTGTTTATTTCTATTTGTTCTTTTTTATTGCATTTTGTCCATAAGAGTGGCTGTATACTGAAAAATCTCTGTACTTATTCATGACTTGTGGGGTGAATGCACACCTCTAGGTGAAGGAAATTGAGTATACTAAAACGACAGCTGGCAAAGAGAAGAGCTTTTTACCCTAGATGAGATTTTTTGAAAGTAAATTTAAGATTGCATATTCATGTTTATGGAAACAATAAATAGTATAACGAACACTAGTCTCAAAAAATGAACCTAATTTGTACAATGAATAATTATGTTTGTGATTGCGTGTGTGAATTATTGAGCATGTATACACGTTCTGTCAGCCTTTCTTTGTGCTTCAACTCTCGAACATTCCTATATTTTTTAATCAGATTCCTCATACAAGGACTTCGATATATCCTCATCGTAATCAAAACCTTCAAGTGTTATTCCTGTTTAACACACTTCAGTTATACCGAGTTCGCGATTACTACAGCCTTGTGATGTTCATGCAATCCAACTCCTTGTCTTCCAAACGTTCTTCCAAGAACCCTCGACGTGCGGCCACATCTATCCCCAAAATCGGCGTCAATAATAATAAACTGTCAAAAAGTACGGCGCATCATAATGCTGCTTCGATTGACAAGGAAAAACACATCACGGCGTCGTGTGTGGTTCTGGAAACATCGACGTATTCTCCCTTTGAGGTTCCCTTCCCCACGCGAACTCTTCCCCTGTCATCTTTCTCGGAACTCAACGTCCCAGTCGACAAGCCGGGTCCGAAGCTTTCCACTCAGCCGCAGTCCCTCCCGCGGCGTCTGCTCCCTCTCCAGGCACAGGACACCCTGAGGTCCTCGGGTCGTTCCCCGTCAGCCACCCTGCGCCCCAGCACAAGGGACTCCCGGCGTACCACCCAAGCCCAGGACCTGCTCCAGCTCCTCCAAAAGCCCCCCCGGCGGAATTCCCAGTACCTTTCCCCCTTCCAGCGTCGCCAACTGTCGCTGATCCAGAGTTTCCCCGGCTCGCTTGTGCGGCTGACCGCCGGCGCGGACGACTCCGACCGCCTGGCGAGTCTCCACCGCTGCCATCGTCTCCAGCGCCCCGAGGACGCCTTCCGGCTCGCGGGGTCGGGGGTGTTGGAGGGGCCCAACGCCCCGTCCCCCCCGGCCTTGGAGGGCCCTGGGCGGCGGCAGTCCCGGTCTCGCCGGCAGTCCCGCCGGCAGTCCCAGGCGTCGGAGCCGCACCCGACACGGCGGCGGCGCCCGGACCGCTCTTTCCTCCCGGCGGGGCTTGTGAAGCCCGGGGAGGGCCGCGAGGCGGCCGCCGCCGACCTTTCCCAGCCCCCGGGCCTCGTGGAGGAGGGCGGGAGGGGGGGGAGGCAGCGGGATGGGCGGCCGGCCCTTCCGCCGCCACGGGGACAGGAAAAGGACAAGAAGGGGTGGAGCGCGGTGGGGTCCTCCCCTTCAACTGACTACTCCCTGACGCCCAACTCGGACAGTGAGAGCAGCTACGAGGAGACCTTCACGGAGAAGCGCGAGCGGATCGAGCGCGAGATTATGAACTATTACGCCATCCTGCACGAGATCCGGTGTAAGGCCGTGGGTGTGATTCAGCGGGCCTGGCGTGTCTGGAGCGCGCGGGCGGAGCTCCACCGGCGGCGCCAGGCGTTCTATGCCCACATTTACCGTTGTCAAACCGCCGCGGCACGGTGCATCACGGGCTTCCTCCATTCGATCGTCTTGCGGAAACGACGCCTCGCGCAGCGTGTCGAGCGGGCGGACCTCGAACGGCGGCAACTCGCCAGCGTCCGCGTTCTCGAGCGCGTGGTTCGGCGTTGGCTGGTGTCCAAACACGCGCGGGAGCGGCTGCATGCGCAGTTGGAGCTCCGGCGGGATTCACGCCTGCGCGCGTGCGAGGTGGCCGCGTGGCGAATCCAGCGGTGGTGGCCGTGGGCCCTCGAACAGCGGGCCGCTCGCCACCGGCACCGTGAGGAGGCCGCGGAGCGGCATCGCGTAAAGGCCGCGGCCGCGCGGCTGGACCAGGCCGCGACGGCGATCCAGCGGATTGTGCGGGGGCGGATTTGCCGGTGGAACGTCCAGCTCTACCGCATCCAGCGCGTCGCCGAGGAGGCGGAGCGGCGGCAGCGCCTCGCGCAGGCCACCGACGTCCTTGTCATCGTCCTGCGCGAATTCGCGGCGCGGCGGGGGCGAGAGGAGGTCGAACGCGCCCGCGACGCCGCCGCGAGCGCCGCCGCGGCGGAACTCCTCCAGAGCAGCCTCCGCGCCGCGCTGGGGCAGCGCCGGGTGGGAGCCGTCCTTTCCTACACGCGGCGGCTGCGCGATGCGGCCGCGCGGATTCAGCGGGCTTGGTGGCGATTCCGCGCCGTTCGCGAGCGGGTCCGCCTGCAGGAGCTCCAACGCGCCGCCTATCAGGCGCGAATCGCGTTGGAAAGTCGGCAGTACACCGCGGTGCTTTGTCTGCAGGGGTTTGCGCGGATGGTGCTCGCGAAGTGCGCGGTGCAGAACCGACGCGTGGAGGTCGGGCGGTGTATTTTGGCGGCTTTGGATCTTCTCGCGCGGGTCGGCCGAGGCTACCTCGCCCGACGGGGGATCGGACAACGACGGTGGGAGGAGGCCCGGGCGCGAGCGATGGCGGAGGCCGAGCGGGTCTCCCGTCAAACCCACGCGGCGCACCTCACGCAGCGATTTATTCAAGCCCGACAGAGTCGAATCCTGACGGAGCAGCGGCGCCGGTGGAAACTGATGGATACCCTTCAGCTGAAGGCTTTAGTGAGGGACGAGCTCCGGCGCGAGGCGGCCGCCGTGCGGATTCAACACGCCATCCGCCATCTCTGGCGTCGACGGGCTGATGAAAAGGCGTGGGAGGAGGCTGCCAATGCGCGGATGTGGGTGCTCCACCGTGTTGTTCAACTCCAGTCCTGGTGGAGAGCCTTCTTGGCCAAACAGGAATACGCTTCCCGCCATGCGCGGGTGAATTGGCTCTGCCGAAAGCGTCTTGAACTTGAGGATGTCCGTGTTCTTCTGGAGGAGGAGTTGAAAGAAAGAGCCTCCTATTATATGTTTCAATACCACGAGGGCGGGCGCAGAGGGGACTTGTCCATTGCCCATCAGCAACATGACGTGAATGAGAATGTGGAGGAACTTGAGAATTCTTGGGCGAATATTTACGAAGATGATGAGATCAAGGTATAGAGTGAGACCAGATGCATGGAATTATTGAAAATTTTGAGGGAAACAAAAGGGGGAGATGGAAAGCAACGTGGACGTGTATCCCACACACCCCTTTTTTTGAACACAATATATTTTGCTTAGATTTTTGTATCTTGGCCCCGCTCAGATTCAGAATGTAAATAGATAAATACACAGATAGATACATATAAATATACATACACATTCGTATGCCTTTCTTTTTCATTGGATGAGTGTGGACGAGAAATGGTGGTAGTGGCGGTGCTTTGGGAGCAGGGTCAATCGATGAGATTTGGAAAGCAAGTTTGTGTATAGAAAAATTTTTATGAACAGAGGCTTTCACTGTGTATGTAAA